ATCTAATGCTAAACCCAATTCAGCTCAGCTCTGCTCAGCACGCTTCGACTGCTACTCCTACTCCAACTCCAACTCCAACTTCGACTCCACAGGCAAACCAAAGCCGAAACAAAAACCTAGAAAAACGCTTTGTCAGCTCAAATTGTTGCCAAGCCAAAAAACCCCAAGCCAGGCCGAGCCAGCCGGCCTCAGCCGTCGGTCCATTCATCTAGCCATTCATCTGTGGGCCAGCATTTCTGTTTTATTTTTGGTCTTGTGAAAAATCATTATTTAATTTGCTATTTTCCATGCGCTTTGTTCTGCCCATTCGCCTGGCTCCGAAAATGTGCCAATGTTATTAAGCCCGGCTATATTTCGACTAATTATAACAGCTCACAAATAGGCATATGAATATCTAAAATACACTTGAAGAAACCCCAGAGATGGAGCTAAGTTCTACTACACAGTGTTTTCCCCTAGCCAAATGCTACTATCCGGCTGAAACTATTCTGAGAAGCCTTTCTATTCACTATACCTGTATGAAAGATTATCTTTAGTTACAGTTACATTAATATTTCATTCTTTCTCTTTCTCTGTATCTCTATCTCATTTAATTTCCGATTCATATATCTATGCTGACTGATTTCATGCAGTGTAAGCGTATTCGATTACAATTCGTTGCATTTCTTTAATTTTATTCAATTTTGCATTACGCAAGAGAGATAGAGAGAGTGAGACAGAGAGGGAGAGGGAGAGAAGTGCATTCATAACAGACGAGGCATACAGATGAACAAGCTGGAAATGAAGATGAAAGCAAAAAGCAAATAAATAAAATATTTACGTTAATTTATTTACTCAAGAAAAAAAAAAAAAACACAGAAGAAGAAGAAGCGAAATAAAATACATTTCGTTTGCTCTGCGCGAATTCCTTTTTAGCGTTATTTAATTAGTTTTTGTTTGCACCTCGTTGCCAGTCGCTCTTCCTCTCTGCCTTTTCTCCTCTTCTCTCTTAGCCCCCACTGCCTGCCATGCCCCGTTGGCCTGCTTCAGTTTTCGTGTGTCTGGCAAAGTTTTCATAGCATTTTCACAGTTTTTTTTTCACTCACCTGCCTTTTTTTCTTCAGCCACTTTTGCTTTTAAACGTGTTAATTATGCGGCAGTCGCTGATTTTTGTGAACAGAGAGCGAGAAACCTTAAGCGAACTTTTGTATTGCAAATCTTGAAACTTTCATGTCGAGCGACAACGAGAGAGAGAGAAACCCTAAATGAATTAATGAACATTGTTGAAAGAAAGAGAGAGAGAGAGAGAGAGAGAGAGAGAGAGAGAGTGAGTAATTTTATTGCAAAACTTTAAAGTTTCATCCGGAACATAGGAGAGAGTAAACCTTAAACGAATTTTTAGCTTTGAACGAGTCGTTGCATTCATCATGACAGATATTGGAATATCTTTATGGAATTCATGTCAATCATTCGCTTTGATGTGGCAAAGCTTCATCAATGGCGCTCTGCACGCTGATGATTTCCCACAGCTTTGGTTTCGCTTTTGCATAATGCCTGTACCTCAGTGGAGAGGACGGCAGCTCTCTCAGCCCCTCCAGCCGCTTGCCTCTAACTAGGGAGCCCCAGCTCGGCTAACCCGCAAAGCCACAAGTTCTAAGCATTCATGAATTTCTCAAGTTGAGCATTGTAAACTGAGCGAGACAGACACGGAGAGACAGTGCAGCGAAAGAGACCCCATGTTGAGGTGGCAACGACCCAACACGCAGCACAAAGAAGCCGCTGCCACACACTGTTGCAACAACAACAGCAACAGCAACATCGACAGCGACAGCAACAAGCTGGTTGATTGATTAACAACAAATTAGCATTAAAGCAGAAAACGGAGTAATGTTTCTAGATATAGATAAGGCGATAGGTACAGATACAGTTACAGATATAGATATAGATATAGATACAGATATAGGTATAGATACAGATACAGCAATAGTTTCATATGATGCAGAACTTAATGCGAACTGCATAGAAATTGAGGATTCAGTTAAATGGCTGACTGACTGACTGACTGACTGATTGATTGAGTGAGTGAGTGAGCAGACGCTAATTGCAGGTGAAACTCAGCTGTTGTGCAATCGTCTAATTGCGCATTTGTCGATTGTCAGCCATAAAATATATATATAGAGAATATATATTATACGATACAGTGCCTATAGTCAGTTACTCATAGGCTTTAAAGTAGTTCAGGGGCAGCTTTGGCGGGCAGCTCAGCGAGGCAGCGAGGCAGCGAGGCAGCGAGGCAGTCAGGCAGTCTCTGAGTGAGTCTCTCAATCAGTTGGTCAATCTGCATTTCAATTTTTATGTTTTTAATTAATTAATTGCAATTTGTAATTGTAATTTGCCAGCATTGACACAGTTTTCGCACCGTTAAATAAAATGAGAAACTTTCCATTTTGCCCGTTTTCAACTTTATTTTCATTTAAATGTCAGCTTTTCCGGCTGTCGGCGTGACATTTACACAGCGAGTGCGCAATTTTCAATTGATTAAGCAATTTTATAGTTTTCCCTCGAACAAATGGGAAAATGCACAATAAAAAATAAAAAGTACAACACAAAATAAAAGCCAATGCCAGCGCTGTTGCTCGGTTCAATTCAATAAACGCAAAGATTGATTAAAAAGTTCATCGCCAACTGCAATTGCACCCATCAAATATACATGCATACATGTATAAGATACCAGTATATATACACATATGTATATATATTTATAGTTTCAGTCATAAAACTTGCTCATAAATGGACTTTTGGCGTGTGCGCTAATCGAAGCGCCAAATGCTTGCACAGACGGAATCAATTTCCATTTTAATACGTTTTTATAGCTAAAAACTAAAAACTGAAAGCTAAAAGCTTAAACTTCACTTGCTTAGCTATAAAATGGCTACGTTTTCAAGTGGCCTTTTATTTTTTAATCAAATGAAATCAATTCGTAGCTATAATCGAATGTTTTATTCCAAATTGTAGTCCCGCTTTAAGGCTGCTAAGTTGTTGGGCTAAGAGGGATAAACTCAGATCTCTCTCACTCACTCTCAGCGACTGGCTTCCTCTTTAGGCCCTCTTCTCCTTCTCTCTTTTTCCCTTTCTCACTATCACCCTCAATATCCCTCTCTTTCTCCTCTCATCTCCCTCCATCTCTTTTTATGATTCCATTCTATTGAAATTGTTCTCGCCAAGCCCATGATAAAGCTGCTTTTCGACTTGAGCACAGAAATGTCGCCGTCAGCCGACACAGCTGAATGAATTTTGGTTTTATTTAATTCTTTTAGTTGCTTTTTGCGCACTCATTTCCTCTGGAATGTGAGCGATGGATGCGCTAAGAAGAGGTTATTTATCATCCGATGCCACGACAGCTGATAAAAGGTGTCTCCTCGAGCTTACCTGCTTTACGCACACGCATGATTCCCAGCTAGGCTGACGACAGAGCGTGCATGCCCCGAGGCGTACATACCCCTTTCCCAACTCTATCTATCTCCCTCTCTCTGTCTCTTTCTTAATGGCGCAATGTATAAAAATCCAACGAGATCCTCTCCGGGCGACAACATCAAATTATTAAACATAAATTTCCGGCTGCCTTTTTATGCACGTAATTTTGGAACAATTTATCATTCGGTCTACTTAAATTGCTTCGATGACACAAAAGTGGGCAGCGTCCCATTCCGGGTGGGGGTTAGTGGGGGGTCAAGGGTCGCAGCTGCTCGCCTATAAATATTTTGGCGTCTAATTGTTTGGCAAGCCCCCAGCTCAGGCCCTTGAAAAGGGGTTGTCAACGCGCAGCAGCGTCTGCGGCCATAAAGAAATTGCTGCCAGCTTCGCCTCTGCCTCGCATTGCCTTGCCCCTGCTTCCGTATCCTTAAACGAATCTCTGCCTCACGCCAACTGCTGCCTCCAATGTCTGTATCTATGGCTGCCTCTGTGACTGTGTCTATATCTGCGTCTGCATCGCAGTCGAAGTCTGTAGCTGTGTCCTAATGAATTTACGCACACACATCGTCATTGTGCTCCTTCGCGCACAGTGGCGCAAATCACACTTAAGCCACATACAATTTGCAGTGGAAGTGTAGTTTAATAGTTTGACTGCCACAGTGGCTTCGAATGCCTGAATATCTTCGTCAACTTTAACTCAGAGTTAGCTCTTAGCAATGCAAACATTTTTAGCCCACTGTTTCCTCTTCGACCACTGTGACTGTTCTATATAAACTGAACAATGAAATAATCAATTATTCATTAATTTTTGAATTGCTTGTAATCGATTTTTAATTTCCAGTATATATTTAATTAATTTTTCTACCCACTGTGCAGCTCTAGCTCTGCTTAGTTATTATTTTGAATGCCATAAAATACATGTCGTTTATATAGTTTTTGTTAGGGATTTTCCCTCTTCTCTGGACGCATAATTTTCATGCACTTCTCACAGACTCTTAGCCCACTGTGCTTGGGCATCTCTGGTTGCTCTCTGTCTGCCGCCTGCGTCACATAAATTGTCCTTTGCTGGTTTTTCTCGTGTGCGCAAAATATTCTACGCTGTTGGCCATCCGCAACCCCTATCGCTCCCTCTCTCTCCTCCCTCTCTCCTTCTCTGTCTCTCAGCCCATTCATATATCCTCATCGTCATCGTCATCGTCTGTTCGCCTGCCTTGGTTTATTGTGTTTGCTGCGCAACATTTTTGGTTGCTCTTAGCTCATAAATCAAAAAACATTCTACAACAATTGTCTCGCTCAGCCTTCGCGCTGCTGCGCTTTTGCTTGTCCTGATGTCCTGCCGTCCTGCTGTCCGGTTGTCCTCTCGCCCTGTTGTTGTGTCGTTCCTTGGCTCAACCAATTTGCACGCGCCACGAAACAAAACAGCTGCCAGCTCTTGCTGCACCTGGCCCACCTTGGCCACCTGAACTTACCTTGAAATTTTCCCAACAGCTGCGACCGGAAAAACCGAAAAACTAACAAAGGATTTTCCGTTTTCTTCTTCTTTCTAGATCTCCCTCGGAGCGTTCGGGCAAAGGCTGCTGCGGCCAATGGTTCGCCGGACCGCCGCTGCGTGCGCTCATAGCCGTCGTAGCCCTAGGGGGCGTGGCGTGCGCCCTTGGCGGCGCGGCCCTGGGCGCCACAGGGCTGGCCGGGCCGTCCAACTCGCATCTGACTGCAGCGCTGCTAATGATTGGTGAGTAAAGAGCAACTGTAGTCGTATAATAAGATTACGTAAGCGTATGTGTGTGTGTGCTCGTTTATAGACCATATATGTGTGTGTGTGTATGCGCATATAGAGACAACAAGGCGAACAATTGATGGCCAACAAAACATTACAAAAATGGCATTAAAACATTTTGTCGACTTTTTTTCGCGAGGTTTACACAATTTGTTATTGTTGCTGTACAATTATAACAGACATTTGTTGTTGCTGTTGTTGTTGTTGTTGTTGTTGCTGACCCAGTTGTAAGCACAAACAAATTTTGTTAAGAGACACATCCACAAAATGTGTCAATATTTGCAGAGCAGTTAGTTCCGGTTACAAAGTTTTTAGAGATAGAAAGAGATGGAGTGAGAGGGAGGGGGGAGGAGGGTGACTCAAAGAGAGCGAGATACGAGGGAGAGATATATCTACATAGAGCTTGTAAATATTGTCATTGCTTGTGGCTGTCTCTGTTTATGGGTGTGCTTAGTTTATCATCTATATAGATCTGTGGGGAATGCTTTTAGATCATTGTGTGTACACACACACACACACACACACACACACACACACCAACACAAACACACTATAATTGGGTTGTGCAAGTAAATTACTGTACATGATTTTAGATATGCCTTCCATTTGTTCTTGATAAAAGAAACAGATTTGTTCATTAGCTTCAAGTCAATGAAATCTAAATAGGATAGAAATTTGTATCAAATTGCAACGTCAAGTAAAGAAATTAAGATATGAATATGAAAATGTCTTATAAATAGTGCTGCCTTCACACATTTCAGTTTGTTAGTTGACTCTCAGCTTTCTTTTCTATGTATTGGGTCTACAATTTCAATAGGTATTTTAAATATGGTTCACATAACAACAATTCCAACCTCAAGTCATGTCCATTCATCCCAGCTATGCCTGATTCAATCATTCCTTATTCACTTTCAAATTAGTTTTATAGTCGTGCTGATATCACATTGAGAATGCTGTGAGCTCTCAAAATCTCCTTTAAGCATGAGTGACAACTTACATAAGTCGAACTGAGAGTGTTATGAATTTCACACCAGTTAGCTCTGATTTGCTTAGCTCTATCATATTCGCTTTCAAAGCTCTTTCTCTGATTTCAATCTATCTTGCTTCGAGCTTGCTTTCCAAGTTCTCTTCAGGTAAATATGAAATTTTAGCATAAATCAAATTGCAAACTCTTTGAGTTTCCATGAACTTTGCTCAGCGCTTCTATGATTGAATCATTCGCATTCGCTTAGCCACACACTCATGAGTCATACCGAATGGGTTCTCTCTTGCGCTGGTTTTGTGTGCGCTTTTCGCTTTGGACTCACGTAACTGGAAGCGGGGCCAAGTGCAGGTCGAACACGTTGCGGTCGGCGACACAAGTTCCGAGCTGCGTCTTACGGTCGAGGTTTGGGCTTGGGCTTGGGCTTGGGCTTGGGCTGTCGGGCTTTTGGTTTTCGTTTTCGGTCTGGGTATGAGCATTACTTATGCATGCGGGGCTCTAATCAATTGCCGGTCGCTTTTAGTTTAGTTTGGAGCTTAGTTGGGGCACTCGAAGCGTGACATTGCGCCATTTTCTGGCGGCAATTACCAAAAATTGTTGAGTTGTAACGCAAAGTTTTACATAATTTAATGGCAATCAAGGCAGCAGCAGCAGCTGCGGTAGCAGCAGCAGCGACTGCCTCTCCACAAAGCACATGTCGCCTATAATGGAGACACGGCAGGCATCGTCAGCCCCTGCTCCACGCTCCCCCTTGGCTTGTCACACTCATAACAAACGCACAAATTATACTCGCGTTTTTTCCAATACCCTAACGAAAATTGATGTAGAGGGTATGAGGATTAAATGAAAGCTTTGCAGCAGGCAGAGTAAAGAGAGGAGAAGGAAGATGGAAAATGAAAGTCGTTACTTGATTGGATTCGTAGGGGAGAGTATTCTGAGTTATGCATACAAGGGCATTATTAGACTATCCTCTATCGTTCCATCTCATTCTCAGTCGTTTCAGTTCCGCTTCTTCTCTCCTGTCTCCTGTGCATCACTTTACCCTTTCCCCGTGCATTCACCTTGAATAGCAGCTACAAAATTTGCTCAGATCATAGTAGATCACGTGGATCAGGGTAACTTCGAGTCGTTTACTGCCAGCTAAAGCACTTTTACTTATTTTTTTCTTGCCTAGTCGCTGTGCGTTCAGCTTGAGGAGCGCAAATTGCTCATGAAAATGTGCGACAACAACAATAGCAACAGCAACAATATATAATAATCATCAGCAACAACAACAGCGACTGCAAAATGTCGACAATTTCGTCTAATAAAAATGATGTTCACCTTTATTGCCGTCTTTAATCAGCTGCCGGCTGTGGGCTTCAGTCTCAGCCGAAGGTTTTGGCTGCGTCGCCAGCAGATGATGCCATGCTCCACTGGCCCCAGCAGCTGAGTCGCTGGCCGTGCCACAGGCCGTGCCACAGCTGTGGCTGTCAAAAGGAAAGCCCCGACGACTCTGCAGCGAAAGTGAAAGTGGAAGTGGAAGTGGAAGTTGTGGAAGCTGTGCCCCCTGATTAAGATTGACCATTGCACACGTGCCCCACACCCCACACCCTCTCTCCCCATTCCCTATACCACTGCTGGCCACCCCTCGATTGCTTTTAGCCAACTGCCACGCCCACGCAGTATTTGACGTCTAATTAAGCTCGAGCAGCGCAATTACAATGAACAAACACTTAATTGAGAGCTTGCCACAGCAACTTTTACAAATCGCTTAAACTTGTACAATCTATATGTACTTTTTATATATGCAACAAAATTTATTATTTTCTTTCTTGGTTCATTGATTCTCCTTTAGTTCATATAGATATTCATATTTTAAACTATTATTTTTAATACAATCTCTCTCTCTCTCTTTCTCTTTGAAGGAGTGGGCGTGGTGCTGGTCACAGTGAGCGGCGCCGCCTGGCGAATGACGGCGCCCGGTGGTCAGAGCTGCCTCGGCCTGGGTCTGGGCACCAGCGTCGACCTGGCCCGCTGTGGAAGGAGGCCCTGCACCCGAGGAGGCGGTGCACCCCATGGCCTGCTCTATCCGGAGTTTCAGCATAGACCACCGCCACCCTCGTACCAGGCCAGCATGCAGGAATATCGACTCAGGTGAGTGGAGGAAGCCAGCAGGAGGCCAGCAGGAGTAGAAGAGTAAAGTCCAGTCTCGTGGCTAGGACAGCGCAGCGGACATGCTCGGCTAACCGCATCCGCTCGCATGTCCTTGCGCAATTAATTGCATTATGTAATTATACACTGGACTACAAAATTTCCTGTCTGACATTTTTGCCATTAATATTTTTTTTTCTACCTCTTTGTGGGAGGGTTTCATGCGCCAAAAGAGTGCTAAAAAAGCTTTTTAAAATTATGGCTACTTTTTAATACTAATTATATTTTGTAATGTCTGGACAGCACTGAAACAACGCGACACATACAGCCATGTGAACGCATATACTCTGGATCAGGCTATCTACTCCATGATAACTGACTGGTTATACATTCCGTCCGAGTGAATCTTATGCAGAATTTTCCTGCTTTCCATAGCAAGCGCGAATCTTATTAATTTCAAATATTTTATAGTGGGCATAAATTTTAGAGCAGCTAGAGCTTATCCATAGTCAACATAGGTCGTGTACATTTATCAAATATTTTAAAATGTATATAAGTAATTTGTTCTTTAATTAATATTATACATTCTCAAATTGTATTTTTCAGACTTTTGCTTTTGGATCGCGATCGTCAGAATGGAGTGGTGCGCGGCAATTCCCCGCCGCCCACATATCGATCTCATGCTGGCAGCTTGCTGAGGTGAGTGCGCATGGCCAGAGCCCTGATTAGAATTGCTTTACTCTCCCAGCTCCCCACTCTTCCCCTGCCACCTTCTTCTAGCCTTGGGAATTCAGCAGGTTCGCACACCCCTCGTAAATTATTTGTAAAGTTTTTGGCGCTGCAACCACAAAATGTTTACAACAACGCCGCACAGTGCGAAACGGCAATAGGAGAGGAATTAGTAGGGTGGCTGGGTGGCTGGGGGGCTGAGTGGGCGACTGGGTGGCTTTGGTGGTTGACTGGGGTGCGGCTGGAGCGTTGGCGGTTTTTAGCTTTGTGCGGTTGGTGCTGACTGCCAACCGCATTGACACATTGCTTGGGGTTGCCCCGCCCACCGCAAAGAAAAAAGTTTATTCTAAACAACTTTCGGAGCCTGTCAATAGCTAAATTTGTTGTTTGAAATGATTTTTGCTTGATATCGAGTTGGGCGCGTGACATTTGCAACTTAATTGAATTCAGCAGGAGGCGGAAGCAGAGGCAGAGGCAGAGGGAGAGGGAGAAACTCTACTTCAAACAATTGAAATACTAAACGAAAGGACAGGGAAGCTAAGGCATAAATTGGAAACAATAGAATGGGAGAAGCATGGCGAGGGGGGGGTGGCAGTATAATTGCTGCTTTGATCACACAATGTTGGCTAATTAGAAAAGTTTACTTTTTTATTGCCAGCCAACTGAAATATCGAATAGCCGAAAAACTGAAAGTTCCACAGTGTTCGAGTGTTTGAGTAGCCCACTCATGAATATATTCACGAAGACAAATGCAAATTTATGGCAAATTAATTTGTTTATAATGACGCCACAAGGCCACATGCACTCAAATATTTATGTCCGATAATGGAAATGAAAAGACAACAGATACGGCAAGGACTTTGTAATACACATAAGAAGCTTAGAGCTGTCTGCAGACCATGGGGCCTAGAGAAGGCAACCAGAGGGAGAGAGGGTGAGAGAGAGAGAGAGAGAGAGAGAGAGAGCGAGGAAGACAGAGCAGAGTCGACTTTTAGATATTGAGACATGACAAACGTTTAATTTTATGATAAGAAGACTTAGACTTTGACTATAAATACGAATTCAAGTGATTCAAATGATAGGCGGAGTAAGAACGCGATTTGAAATATAATATTCATTAGACTTTGAGTGTAGCTGACTTGAAAAGGAAGGAAAATAACATAATATGAGACCTTGATTATACAAAGCTTAGAATTGGAATAAAAATACACTGGTAGTAAGAAACTACTCTTAAAATAGAATATGTACAAGACTTTGGCTAAACATAAATAGCCCAATTTCTAGAAAAGAAACAGCTTAAAATATAAATAATAAAAAATAGGTAATCAAAGTTCCAGATTTTTCTTGTCCATCGAATATGCCCGCTCTGAACTGTTCTTTTCAAGGGGTATAAAAAGTGACAGAGAAGTATGTCGGAAAGCAAAAACTTATGCAAAGTGTGTGTGGCAGCGAATCGGAGTGAGAGAGTGTGCGAGTGTGTGTGTGTGTGTTGCATGTGTGATGGCATATTCAAATATGATGTAAGATGCGAACAAAGAAATCTGTGAAATTTTACAAAATATTTACACACACACGCATCTCTCGCACACACACACACATACACACACACACTTGAAGTGGAGTTTGCGATGCATAACAAGCAGGCAGAGCGAGTGTATGTTAAAAGGCAATCTGCGAAAGGCAGGCCAGAATAGGCCAGATCCTGGGCAAGGATTTGAGCAAAGCCTAGAGAGAAGGTAGAGGGAGAGAGAACGAGAGAGAGTGGGAAGGGAATAAGCAATTGCCAGGCAAAGCTGTTAGCCAAGTCAATTAAACAAACAAAGACAGAGGCACCAGAGTCGAATGTCTGTGAAAATTGCCTGTTAGGCCAGAGATAGGCGCACGAAAGAGACCGAGTGAGCGAGCGAGTGAGACAGCGGGATATGGAGAGATAGATGAGAGTCCTTGCTTACTTAGTATGCCTGACATTCGCATTTCCTTACGCATTCTGAAATCTTTTGTCGGCAACAATTAAATGCAATTTTACATACTTCAAATTGCTTTATGCAATTTGCATTTTGTGCCCAAACAGAAGAAAGGATCTTTCCATTTTCCATGCTTTTTTGACTCGACTGGCAACAATTGACCGAACGCCTTTTGTTATTTAAATTGACAAAGATCTGGACATGCATACAGATACAAATGCCTGCATTGACTTTGTCTCATGCTTTATTCGTTGTGTGGCTTAACTCTGTTTCCTTTCTTTGCAGAGCCCCTTTGAGCACCTTGCGTGCCGGCATGGGCGGCGGCGGCACCATCAGCAGCAGCATGGGCGGCTCGGAGTACAGTTTGCCGCCCAGCTATCGCTCGCGCAACGCCACGCCCTCTTCGGTCGAGCGGACCATCGAGACGGCGCCCTCGGGGCGGCTGCTGGCCAATGAGGATTTGCCGGAGCTGTCCGGCGAGCAATTGCCAGACTACAGCGCGCTGCAGTCGAATACTTTGCTCACCTCGGCCATTGTGGAGATCGAAGCCAGAAACCAGGAGCAGCAGCAGCAGCAGCAGCAGCAGGCGACGACGACGACGACGACGTCGACCAGCAAGGGTAAAGGCGATCTGGTGACAATTGTCACCATCTCCCAGGCGGACGTGCATGCGGCCAACAGAGCGCAGCCACAGGCAGCGGGGCAGGCGAGCACGCTCGATCAGATCGACATATTGGCGCACCTGTAGCCCAGCTGCTTAGCTCAAGCTTAAGGCCTATTTTTTTTTTTTTTTGTTAAACTGAAACACTCGTTAACCCAAAGGTATTTATTTGTACGATACGAAAACTAAAAGAGAAAAGAAGGAAACTCTGCTCCTAAATGATAGCACGAAACAACTTTGATATCTAGATATAGATAAGCGGCATTTAGTTAAGATATATATACATACTATATGTTTGTTGTACTTGAATGTGTTGAATTTATTTTTGTATAGCATATAAGTGAGTGCTGCGAAACTAACTCTCATATATTGTATGTACTCTATATAGATGCGAAAGTATTAGAAGAAGATTATTCGAGCAACCAATCCATAATCCCATAAATACTAAAGATATATCAAAGTCTTGTAAATATTTCGAGTGCATGCATTAAGTCTAGATTTTTTGCTCCACTATCCAAATATATATTATATATAAAACATATTGAATGAATCTGATGTAAATTCGCAACGGAACGCTACGGTGACAAATTTTGCGCGCATATTCGATGGAACGAATCGAACGGAAACTGAAAATGAAAACTGATTTCTGCATGCGTTTCAAACATAACATAAAAAATAAAATACAAATAATTAATAATAATTAAAGCGAAACAAATACAAGTAAACTAAATAGAAATTGTAGCGCTGTTGTTATCTAACACGGATCGTGCATAAGTACAATACAGTTAGAAAATACTATGTATGTATTCTATATATAGTATATATATAGATATGCTAAATATTATCTTGAAGCCCGCTGCTGGCTGAAATAAACTAAAAACCAAAAACATCTGCAAAAATGTAATGTTGATAAAATGCCACGAAAACCGCAAATTGTTTTTTTCTGTCCCCTCTACGTTTCCGCCTGCCAGAGTTCAGCAACAAAAGGGCGTGGTAGTGCGTCCCCTCCCCGACCCACTCCCACATAGTCGTATGGGCTGCTTAATCTAGCGTAAAGCTTGCGTATTGGCCACGGACCGGGCCCTTGTGTAGGCTTTGGGCTTTGGCAGTTGGGTCCGGCGATTAACACCCAGCACGCAAAAATGTGGAGCGAACACACAGAAATTGACACCTTCTGCCATTGGCGAGGAAAATGGCATGAAAATCGCCTCGGAAAATGCCAAATGAACAAACAACAAAAATTGGTTGAGCATGAAATTGCTCTCGGCTCTCCAAACTGCCGCCTGCGTGTGTTTCTGTATGCGTGTGTGTGGGTGAGTCAAGCAAAGTCCATTGCATACTTTTTGAGCAGTTCACGAAATACGTCACAGCAGTTGCTTGTGCGCTGTACCGACTATGCCTCACAGCTTACAATTCGTATTGCATATTTAAGAAAACCCTGTTGCAGACCCTCCAGTATATGCGACTGTTTCGCAGATCCCGAGCAATGGAAGATCGGGGAAATCAAATATTCCAAATAAATAAAAAATATTATGAAATCTATATTTTTCAATGCAGATCGAAGGACTTCAAAGGTTCGTATCGAAAAGGATATATTCTTCGGAAATCGGGCGACAAATAGTGTTAAGTTCCCGAAGATGTTATAATTCAAGCGGTATGTATGTATATGTGTATGAATTAATATATATTTAAGTCAGCAAACACTGTGAAAATTTGAAAAATCAATAAATTATTTTGATCAGTAAATATACAAACTGTTTTTATTTTATTTAGCGGGGTTACTTTACTGGGAGTTGATATTCAAAAATAAACGGTTAAATATATGCAGAATAATGTTCTTATTCTGTTAAAGAACATTATGGTAACAGTACGCTGTTAATATACTGTTAAGGAATATTTTGCACCCCACATAACGTTTCTGTGCGGCTGGTATTTCACCAAAATAGCTGGGCAAGTTTTGGAGGTACTAGGCGCACAGAGACCAGCAGTAAGGCTAAACATGTTAGTTAACAGTGCATTAGCGTAGCACTGTTGATTCACTGAAGATCTCTGAGAATTTCTAGTCATAAATGCGCCAGTTGTGCTCACTAATATGCACGCACCTTTTTTTCAGGCCACGCCATTGGCTGAACGTTTCTGCCGTACATAAAACTGCGAAACTCTCTCACCGAATTACCTTGAAATCGTTTAGAGTGTCATAGCAATGCACTCGATTGCATGACCTTGAAACTAATTTCTGTGAAATCTCCCACTCAAAGAATTTATGTCCAGCTGCTACGTTCTGCTGCTCGCCTGGTGTTTTTAGTTGTTTTACATTTAAATTTGACTTCAGAGGGCAAATATTTGTCCTCTGGGCATAGCGAAAATGTTATGATATGCAACTGAGTTTATGATCTCTTAGCATTTCTCTACACAAATGCGCAATTAATGCTCACTAATATGCATGTGCCTTTTTTCAGGCCACGCCATTGGCTAATCACTTCAGCCGTGCATAAAACATCGAAACTCTCTCACCGAATTACCTTGAAATCGTTTAGAGTGTCATAGCAATGCACTCGATTGCATGACCTTGAAACTAATTTCTGTGAAATCTCCCACTCAAAGAATTTATGTCCAGCTGCTACGTTCTGCTGCTCGCCTGGTGTTTTTAGTTGTTTTACATTTAAATTTGACTTCAGAGTGCAAATATTTGTCCTCTGGGCATAGCGAAAATGTTATGATATGCAACTGAGTTTATGATCTCTTAGCATTTCTCTACACAAATGCGCAATTAATGCTCACTAATATGCATGCACCTTTTTTCAGGCCACGCCATTGGCTCAGCCCTGCTGCTGCCCATACAACATGAAACGCTCACCGAATGACCTTGAGATCGTTTAGGGTCTCATAGCTATGGACTCAATTGGTTGACCTTGAAACTAAAATTTTCAAGGAATTTCTGTCGAGCTGCTGCTCTTCGCTGCTCGCCTGGTATTTTTAGGGGTTTAACGTAATATTAGACATACAAGGCAAATAAATGCTGCATACCAAAAGTGCGTGTCATGAAAGTCTCGAGTGTCATTTTTTGACCATTTTCGGTGTCCTTCTGCGAGCTTCTGTTCGCCTGGCAAACGAGTGGAAATTTGCTGAAATGATACAATAGGCCAGCACATATTGGCGACCCCCCAAAAGTATGCTACACTAATATTCAATAAACAAATAAATCATAAGCCCAAAAGTATGCAATCAATAATTTTACACTGAAAAAATAATTTTTTATCAACTTGCTGCAAACTTCTGTTCGCCTGGTAATTGAGGGGAATTCAGGTACAAATTCAATGTTTTGACAACAAAAGCTGCTGACACCGAAGTTATGCAAATCATATTTTTACACTGAGCAAAATTTTACATGTTTGTCTACTTTCTGTGACTTGCTGTTTTGCCTGGTTCTTGAGTCGAAATTTGCAACGGGCCAGCGAATATCAGTTACATCCAAAAGTATGCCACATTTATTTTGGTGAACACATTTAATGATATGCCTAAAAGTATGCAAAGCAAAATACTAACTACAAAATAAAAACACAGTTCTTTTAATTTATATACTTTTTCTTTATTTAACGTTTTTTGGGGAAATATAAGTAAAATTTGTATTTAAAAACTAGTTTTTCATATATTAAATCTTAAATCTAATTTTCGACAAGTTAATGGGCTTACCGATAGACTATACAGACTACTATAAACAGAAGACTTTCTAAGTAAATATATAACTTTATAAGTAAATATCTATCTCCGCCACAATGTTCCATTGGGTTTATTCATATGTAGTTATAGCTAACGCTTTCATTGCTCTGCAGGCAAAAACCTAAATGAATTAAAGTTTGTTTTAAAGTCTATGTATTTCCTATATAACTAATACTTACAGTTTTACATCAATGATGAGAAGAACCGTATTGCATCCATTTATTCACCTCTTGCTGTTCAGCTTTATGATACTGTATATGATTTCCGATAGGCATACGGTTTTCTTCATTTTGGGGGCTGACTAGTGATGGCCAAATTCATAGAATTCAGGCTACTCAGAAGAAAATCAGAAGTTAGTTTGTTAGAAACAGCATATTAAAGGCCATGGAAAAGTAAAGTTTGCAGCTATTTGTGATTTACTGTAGGTTTTTAAAAACTCTATTTATTTAACGCGAAAAAGATTTCGAAATTTATTGATAGTAATTTAGTACAAGGTACAATCAATTAAGATAATCTTGATTTGGTTTACAACACAAATTTTAGATTGAGTTTTAGTTGTTTTAAGTAGTTCAATAATTTTCTGATTGCGCTCTGATTGATTTAGGATATATAATATATAAATATACATTTGTTTTTATACATTTGAAATCCTTTTTTGCGCGGTTTGAGAACAGCAACTTCTTCTCATTTGAAACTAAATAACTTTTGTGAAATACATTCAAATATATGTATATAAGCATATAATTCGATTATGTTAAGATGAATAAATAATATATAAATATAAGGTGTGGATAGTCGGATATATATATATATATACATATACATATACATATATATATATAAGGATGCTGCTGTTGAAAACTAATTCGATTTCGTGTCGTTTACAATGCTTGATTTTCTTTCATTTCTTTTTAAAATTAGGATAACAGTTCAAAGAAAACAAATTATAAAGGAAATTAATTAATATTAATTAGGCATCATTTAATTTGATAATTGCTTTAATGAGCTTCAATGCTTAATTCAGAACTGTTGTTGCTTTTCTAATCGTGCTGTTGTTGTTGTTGTCGGTTATTGTAGGTTGGTTGTTGGTTGTTAGTGTGCGTAATCCCTGAAGTCCATAGTCGAGCCATATACAATAAGATCTGTGATTGAGCTTAACGCGCGTGGTTCTTGCAGAAGGGACGTCCGCCCTTATTGTAGAAGCTCTGACCCTCCAGGTTCTGTTTGCAGAACTATAGAAAATAGGAGATTAAGCGAATCCATTGACATACGAACATATATGCATGTATATCATATACTTACAGTGCAGTTGAAGCATTGGCTATGATAGTTGTGGTTCAGCGCCTCCACCCATCTATCGCCAGCTTCAACAGGGAAGCCGCAGGCGAAACACTTTGTAGTGAACAGCTCGTTCCAGTCAGCCTCGCAGTATGCATTGCCATCTTCTAGGAAGAATGGCGTGTTGCCAAAGATCTTGCCGCACTGGCCGCAAGTAAAGCACTCCGGATGGAAGTGCTTGCCAATGGCATTCAAGCAGTCGCCCTAGAAGAGAGAGAGAGAGAGAGAGAGAGAGAGAGAGAGACTTAGGGCTTAACTCTTAGAGACTTGTGCTAGAGTGGAGTGCTTACCTTGATTTTGCCAGCGCATTTGCTGCAAGTGGGCGCCAGATACTTCTCGAAGCAATACTCGCAGTAGAGGTCGCCCTTCTCCTCAACGAAGCCAATGTCCTGCAGCGGACGACGGCAGTTGCCGTTCACGCAGATGAAGTGATCGGGGCACCAGATGCGACCCAGAGCCGTAATGAAGGGTCCCCTGCAAAAGGATGGCAGATTGGAGCATTAGCATTGGGTGGAAGGGAAAGGCAAAGGGCAGCGGGTTGGGCAGGCGCAGGCTGTTAGGCAATTAGACTACTTACGATGTAATTTCCTTGTTGCACTGACAGCATATGGGACGCTTACCATCCTTGAGCAACTGACTTACGGCCTTCTCGTTCTCCTCCGACATGGGTCCCTGAGCATCTCCCAATGCCCTGACACAAACGCTAAACTTGGGCGCACCGCCCTGACTGTTGTTGGTATCCTTGGTATCCTTGCCGCTGCTGTTATTGCTGCTGGAGTTCTGCTTGGGCTCTATGTAGGAGCGACGATCGGCAGCGTGGGTGGCATCCGTGCGCCTCAGATTATTTCTAAAGGCAACTGGCTCGGGCGTCGGCTGCTCTTGGCTCGCCTTGCCACTATCACAGATATCGAGGATCTTGCTCATTGGATGCTGCGCCGGCAGCTCGAGCTGCAGCGTCTGCTCTACACGCTCCACTTGTGGCTGTGCCTTTTGTTTGCCCAGCTCAATTGGCAGCTGCTTCTGGTGCTGCACAGGGGCCGGTGGAGGAGACTGTGGCACAGCTACAACTGGGTGCAGGGCCACGGGCTGTGTAGGATCAATGTGCTTGAAGTCGTCCAGGTCAAGACGCTTGCGCACTATCATCGGACTCTTTGTCAGATTCGAGCTGCTGTTGCTGCGCAGACTTAAGCTGCTGCCTGCGTGGGAGGGCGTGGCGCTGTTGGCAAGTCGCGCCTCCAGCATGTTGGAGATGATCTTGCCTGCCTCCTGCATGAAGGCAGGCGTCTGCTCGCCCATATCCATGCGGCCTATGGACTCGGTCAACATGGCTGTGGCGTCCGTCTCGATATGCTCGTCAGTCGCTCTCTGAATGGGGCGTGGCAGCGTGGCATTTGGATTAGCATGCGAGTTAATTGGCTGAGCAAGCGGAGGAGGCCCTGCGGCAAGGGAATAATGGAACGATAACGAAAAACAACAAACGAAATTGGTTAGGGTTTACAGTTCGTGCAATGAATTAGCTGGAGACTTAGACCTAAATGGCATTGGCAAAGACAATCTGAGATTAATCAGAGCTTCGCCAGCCAAGCCGTATATATAATCGAGGTAAGTGGTTAGCAATCATGCAGGACTTGCTCTCTAAACAGTCAGAGAAGCAAGTCTCAGGTCAGCTGTGGCTTGGGGGGAATTAGAAGTATACGTAACAATTGGAGCCTGGAATTCACCTGGGACTCCAGATAGTAAAATAACATGAATAGAAATCAAACAAAACAAAAACAACAACGAGAACTTGAAACAGCATGGGGAATTCTTCTTCACCTGATCTGCACATTGCAGCTGTTGCACAGTGGGATGCGAACGCCTGGTCCGGCGGCCTTGTTGAGAATGCCACGTCCACGCTTTGGCGCCGAGGTGGCTCCGAATGCTCCGCCCTTGCCTCCAGCACCTGTGGAACCATCAACATTAGAGTTCAACTCGCTTAGATTGGGCGGAAAGACGGGTGGCGCAACTGTAGTTGTTGTTGGCTTTGGCGCCGAAGCAGTTGGCAGCTTGGCCAGCGCAGCTGTTAATGAGGAGCCCGCGGCTCCAGAGCCTCTGAATTGCGCACAGGCTTGATTATTAGTTGTGGTAGTAATAGCAGAAGCTTTGGTTAGACTGGCCGACGCTTGTGATGCTGATGCTGATGCAGATGTTGATGCAGATGCGGATGTAATTGCTGAAGCTGATGTTAGCGATGAGGTCAGCTGCTGTTGCTGAGTCGAGGAAGTTGACTTGAAGGCCGACCTCTGTTGCAGCTGCTGCTGTTGCTGTTGCTGCTTGAATCCAGGTGGAGGTCCGAGCAGCTTGTTGCCTGCTGTCAACCCTGCTGAATAGTTGGGCACGCTTGACTCAACAGCAGCTGGATTCAGAGGAAACTTATCCTCAAAGGTGGGCGAACGCAGCTGTGGGAAGCTGCCCTCGCCTAGCGTCGAGGCGCGAGCACTGATGGCTTGAGACTGAGTCGTTAAGCTGCTAATTTCCTGCTCCAGCCCAGAGAGCCGACGGGCCTGATTGGCCACGAAACCCGTGCGCCCATAAGACGAGCGGCGTTCCGTAGACTCCGACTGTGACTGTGATTGAGACTGCGACTGCGATTGAGACTGCAACTGAGACTGAGACTTCAACTGCGATTGCGATTGCGATTGCGATTGAGACTGTGACTTTATCTGCGTCTGGGAGCTGGAGCCCGTGCGTATCTCGATGGTCTTGGCACTCTGGGTGTGCTCAAACTCCTCAGTAACCTTGCGTCTGCGCTCGATCTGTGTGTTGCCAATTTGGGTCTTGGTTTGACTTTGGAGTTGCGACTGCTTCTGTTCCTGCAGCTGTGAGGACTGCTCGCGCTGCTGCACATTCACATTGCCGATTCGCATCTCTGTCAACTTCTCCGGCTGCTGGCTGTAGCTCTGGCTAGCCGACTGCGAGCTGAGCTCGGAGTGGGCCAGCAGCTGCCCCTGGTAGCTCTGGCCCGTGGTGATAGAGCCCGCCTGCAGACGCGATCCTCCGACTGAGAGCAGCTGAGACTCCGAGGGGTCCTTCATGCGTGGCGCTCGTATGGCCGAGAGCGGGTTCGGCGGAGGTCCAGGCGCTGGCGAGCGTGCGCGATCTGGAAAGGGCGAGGCAGCACGTTGATCATAGTCGCGCGCATGCGTAGCTGGGCACTCATCAAAGCAGAGCTTCTCCTCTGTCTGATAGAAGGGTATGATGGGTGCCGGCTTGTTGATCATCGAACAGACGGACGAGCAGGGCGTGTACGGCCGAGTAGGAGTCAGCGACTGATCGGGCTGTTCATATTCATCTAGTGATTGAAAAGCCATCGTTACTGGACCCGATCGATCTTCAATTATGATGGGCACCGACGGCTGCACCGCTGGCTTACCCACCGAAGCAACCGAGGCAACCGAAGCAATCGAGCCTCGAGCAGCCGTCGATGCCGTCGAAACCTTTGCAATGGGTCTGTGCACAGTCTCTGAGCTGGCACTTGTCGTCGGCTGCTTGGGTGCATCTACGAAAGCAAGCGGCACATTCTCGCGCAGCTCTTGTGGCTCCGGTGTGCGTATGGGGCTCTGGGTGGGCAGCACTGTCCAATTGCGCTGGTACTTGGGTATGGCATCCGCCCTATGCAAACCGGACTGGACGGCTTTGCCTTTCAAGTGGCTGAGCGGGGATGGTGGCGGGAATAGTACCTCAGAGTGCTCGAGTTCCTCGGCGGTTTCCTCGATCAGTTCGTGGGCATCGAGTTTGCAAGCGGTATTTACAGCTGTCTGGTTGGTAGTGCAAGTGGAGGAGGTCAGGTTGGAGCTGGCTGAAAAGGAGGACCGACTGCTGGCCTGGACATGAGACTGGACCTGAGCCTGAGTCTGAGCCTGGGTTTGAGCCTGGGTTTGAGCCTGGGTCTGGGTTTGGGCGACGTAAGCAGAGTTGGAGGTGGAGTTGCTGTTATTGCTGTTGTTGTTGTTGTTGCTGTTGATGTTGATGTTGTTGGGCTGTTGGACTGTGGAAGAGGAGTTAGAGGAAGCAGTCGCAGCATTCGCATTCGAATTAGACGAGTTAGTCTCAAAAAGTTTCATCTGTGTTTGATTCTGGTTGAGCTCCTCTTCCTTTTTGTGAAAGTAGTCGAGTCGCTTTTGATTGCGCTGCTGCGCCTTGCAGTACTTCTGGTACTCAAGATCGTTCTGTTCTTTCGTTAGGGAACTTGTGACAGTGTTCGAGTTGGACGCGGAGGAATTGGAGTAGTTGGAGTTGGAGTTGGTATTGGTGTTGGCGTTGGCGTTGGAGGAAAGTGGCTCGCGAGACGGCTGGAATGCTTGCATGGCCGCAAATGCGGAGGATTTGCGCTGCTGTTGAGGCTGCGTTTTGAAGTACTCCACAGACTCGGGCGGCTCCGGCTTGATGCCCAGTTCCTCCTCATGATCGAGCACCTGAAATTCATACTTCTTTAGCTCTTGCTGTTTTTGCTCCTCCTCACGGCGCTGCGTCGCGTTCTCGGGATTGAGTGGGGTATAGCCACGTTCGGGCGCTGTGCACAGTGCGTCGCACATGCTCAGGTGCTCCTTGGGTGTGGGCAGGTCTATCATATGGATGGGAACATCCCGGTCGAAGTGACCCTCGAAGGGTCGCTCCGGGGCGGTGGTCAAGGCGCTCACGAACGGACTCTTTGGACGATAATCTTCGCGCATGTACGGCTTCATATCCATGGGCGGCGGCATATAGGGTACTGTTTCTTCGGGTAGTGGAACGCCCTCGGCTGCGGGCGGGGCGAAGCGAACTGGAAACTCCGGCGCTGTAGCCATAGCCTGACTGAGTCGATTGCCACGTGGCGGCGACTCGCGCAACAGCTGAACGGCATAGGCATCTACAGCAGCAGCGGGAGCGACAGCAGGAGCCGGAGCCGGAGCCGGTGGTGGAGGTGGAGCAACTGCAGCTTGTTGAGCTGCCTGCTCGGCTGCGTCTTCAGCAGCAGCTGCCTCCGCCTCGAAGTTATCGTCGCAAGGCTTGGGGAACGGACACTCGACAAGGTGGAAAGGCACCTCCGGGGCTGTGGTAAGCACACGAATCATGGGGTTGATCCATTCCTTTGGCATGGGATTGGGTATCTTGGAGGGTGGTGGCCGCTGACGCACGGGTGCTATCTCGATCTTAATCTCTGGCGTGGCCTGGAACATGCGCTCGCTCTCGAGTATCTGGCAGCGCTGCTCAATGATGAGGCCCTCGCGGTCCTCGGCCGACTCGGGTATCGTCTCCAGCTCAGTGTGCAGCTCCTTGATCTCTGGCTCATCGTTGAACGCCACGTGACGAGCAGGTGGAGCAGCAGCAGGAGCAGGAGCAGGAGCTGCACCAGGAGCTGGAGTAGACACGGGACTGGGCGTCACCTCCCTTACCATATCGATTAGCTTGTAGGTGCTCAATGGCGCTGAGAGCGAGTCGACGCACTCCTGGGCACTGCGCCTGCCCGAGGCATAATCCTGCGCGTCCTGATCCAGCTGGTAGTCCAGCTCAGAGCCCGACTGCTCGTAGCACGCCTGCTGCATTTGATAGGCCTGCAGCTGGGCGGCGTACATGCGCTGATACTCCTCCGAGGTGGTTGTTGTGGTTGTCGATGTGGACGTATAGCTGTCCGAGCTCGACTCTTGCTCCATTTGAGTCTGCTGCACGCGCTGCTGCGTCAGCTGCGGTGCTGAGTAGCTCTGCCACTGTGGAGCCTGTGGAGCCTGTGGAGCCTGCGAAGGCTGCTGCGACTTGTTCGCTTGAGACCGCTCCTGCGGCTGCGGATCGAGGCGCGAGCTAGCGCTACCCGGCGGCAGGGGCGGCACCTCCTGCACAGGCTTCGCCACCACCACGTGCTGCGTTTCGGGTGGGGCTATATAGAGTGGTGCAGCGGTTGGTGCCGTATGACTTTCATCCTGTGGCGGTGGCCACGAAAAGCTGCTGCCATGCGAGCGACGGCTGGCTGCCATGGCAACCTCGACATCCTCCTCGTAGCATTCCTCCTCGTATTGCGGCTGCAAGCCTTCCGCCTCCAATTCTGCGCGTCGAGTGTAGAGGGGTCGAGGGGCGTGGTAGGGGCAAAGCAGTGGTTAGTTAGGCGAGAGCGGAGCGAGGGCGAGGCGGGGGCGGAGGCAAATATAAGAGCAGAAAGAAATAAAATTCATACGCTTGTTAGTCGTTGGCTCTGAGCAAAGCGGCGGCGGCGGCAGTGGTGGCGGCAGCGGCATAGGTGGCGGAGGTGGCGGAGACGGCGAAGCAGAAGCTCGGTCGAAGGTGAAGGCGGTGCGCTTGAGAGATGTCAAAAGGCGGCGCAAACAACAAAAACAAGAGAAACGCAAGAGCAGAAAAACAAAGCGAAGCTAAACTACAACTGGCAAACGGCGCTTGCCTTGCCCTAGCCCTTGCCCTAGCCCTTGCCTTTCCCCTTCCCCTTCCCATTGCCCTTGTCCTTGCCATGGCCCGTGGGGCAAGACAATTCAGCTAAGCCGCTTAGCAGAGCAGCTCAGCTCAGCTTATGCCAAGTATCAGCTCCTTACGTGAGACAAAAACGAACAACAAGTTCCAAAGTGTGTTCAATTAGTGTTATTTTAAATACTAAACGTGTGAGAAGTGTGTGAGTAGTGTAAAGCAGCTGCCACAGGCTGAGACTGCAACTAATTTGATGGAGTTGAAAGTTAATCGAGTAACGCATTAAGAGTGAAGCTCCAACAAGTTAAATATGAAGTATTTCTCCGTTTACAAGTCGAAACTAGTTAGTAAAAAGAGCTGGCAATATATGTATATAGTCTATCTGCACTCTAGCTGGGAAATTCTGCGTATACGCAGCATCGGTATATCAATAGACTTTTGCAGACCTATTCCTAGAGGGAGACTAAACTGCGAACGTGGCGCATACGCAATGTGTACAACAATTACATACATCGGTATATATATATGTATATATGTAATCGGTCTGTTGTCGTCGTCACTGTCGTCGTTGTCGTTGTCGTTGTCGTTGTCGTTGTTGTCGTCACACATCAAAAAACATAAACAAAATATCCATTGCAATATAAAAAGAGCTGAAATACAGACAATATTGTTTGCCCGGGCAAATAAATTTTTCATTTCTTATTTTCAGGCCATTTTCATGGCGGAACAATAAACAGAGAGCACACGCGTGTGTGTGCGTGTGTGTGCGTGTGTGTGCTAGACACACTTGCATGACTGTGTGTGTGCGTGTGTGTGTGTTCATTTTTTATGTTCCCGAGCCTGTGGCTGGGGGACTGCGCGCTGAGCTCTCACGTCTCACGTCTCTGCACAAGAGCCAAAATGGCGACGACAGGTAGTCATTGGCTTTTATTATGCATAATTTCATATTGGCTGTAATTTTGCAGAAATTGAAAATGGCAACAGCACACGCACACACACACACAAACACACAGACAGACAGACAGAAAGTCGCTTATTATAGAAAATATTTTATATTCAACAAAGTTCGCAATAAACATAATGAGAGAGAGATAGAGGCAGACCCAAGGAAAAAGTTTCACTTGGTACACTTGGAATACGTATGCATATATAAAGAGAGATATATATAGATGGGCCTTAGGCATGCAAAGTAGAGTAAGTTATAGAGATACACACGTATATATGAATACAGCATATGCATATAGATAGATTGGCAAATGCTGATGCGCTGTTAGGCGAGAAGCGTTTAGTTAGAGAGAACTACATAAATAGCTCATGTAGAATATAGTGCATGTCTATGCACGTGTATATGGAATCATAAATCGATTTAGAATTGATAAGATTTATTGCAAATTCATAAAACAACTGTTAAATAAGTGAAAGATTTTATAGATAGATATATGTGTATGTTTAGGTGTTTAGGCTTAGAAAGTTTTCCCAAAAGAATCTCCGAAAATTTCATCAGCCTTCCCAAAAAAGGGACTTTGCAATTTGTGCTCTAAGTTTTTGCTTTCTAATAGGTATATTGGTAACCGTAACCTAGAAAGAAGAAGAAGAAATGCCAAGCCAAAATTGATCAAAATTGTGTATGTATATGGGCATGTATATAAATAGAAGTATTTGAGATACATTTCAGTTCTCCTGCTGCTCGAGCAGAATAGTTGAGCAGCCAAACAAAACGAAGATAATAAATAACTGGGAGTTAAGCATGGGCCAGGACTTCCGCTAAGACCTTGAGGAATTCAAGGCATTTGATGCATGAAACCAGAACACGCTAGACACAGAGCGTGAGCGAGAGAGAGAGAGATGGAGAGAGAGAGACGTGCATCAATATGGAGCGCAAAGCGCAAAGCAGGCTGAGCACACACAGGATGTCAGGCTGTTTGGATAATAATGACTGGTAATTTATCTGCCTTCGTTTACATTGTTGTGCGTGCGTGTGTGTGAGGGTGTATGGGTGTGTGTGCGTGCGTGTCGGAATGTGTGTAGTACAAACATTTGTTTGCCAGCTGCCCGCCCTCCGCGGCCTGCTGTGGGATTTGCCAACTGGATTTGTTTTTATGTGTGTTTTTGGCGGCTTTTGGCAGCTGCTTTTAGCGGCATGCCGCCAACACAACACAGCACGAAAAAAAGCCAAAGAAATGTGCTCGGTTAATGGCTGCGGTTGTGCGTGATTCACGCTTTGATTAGGAGATTGATTTTGATTTCTGATTGCAAAGCTTTACTCGGCTCACTCAAGGTGGAAGGTGAGAGTGAGAGTTGAAGCTGAGAGCGATTAAACTCGAAATTAAATGAGATCTACACAGATTATATATATAGAGAGAGAGAGCTATATATGTAAGAGCTATGCGGTGGACTTCTGGCAGTTCCCTCTACGCATGTAATAATTGCATTTTTAATTGCGAGAGAGAGAGAGAGAGAGAGAGAGAGAAAGAGGTAGATTCGACTCATAAATTGCATTGTTACCATTTTGGATTCGTTGCCTGTGCCCGCCATATTTGCTGTTAATTCATTTCCGTTATGACAGCCAACAACAATGCTCAGGCGTAATTGATATACAAATATACACACACACATGCATACTTGCATATGTCAGCATATACATATATATGTGTACATATACGTGTGCCTCAACTCTGTTTATATAAAGAAAAATGTATAAAATTCGTGTGTGCAGCGAGCGAAGCGAAGGCATCGCAGCTACAGTGGGAACTGGCTATAAGGGCACAGGTTGGCTCCCCTTTGAAATGTATCAAACAATCAGATCTTTCTCGAATCACTTAACACTCTGAAGTATACCAAAAGAATATATGATAAAATTGTCACGTGTTGCATAACTGCTGGCAGTCAGTGTAGGTAAGCAGCACCAATTACAGTGGCTGCTGGCTGTAAATGTATGCTGACAGAAATCAAAGGTCTCTATAGCATTTATCGCAGAGCTAGACATCAGCTTTTATCAGTCACTGTGTTCCGACGCACACACACACACACTCATAGTCACACACTCATTTATATATTTAATATTTGCCTTGCATTTAATGTTGGGTGTATGTGCTGTGTATGGGTGTGTGTGTGTGTGTGTGTGTGTGGCGGAACCACCACAGTTATTGCAACGTTGCATTGCTGAACCGAAATACATTTTATAGCATTCGCATTCACATGTGTGTGTGTGTGCGTGTGTGTGTGCTTGAATTGTTTCGTTTTGCTGCATTACGTATACGCAACGTGTGCTTGGTTTTTGGGTTTCGGGGGCTTTTGGCTTTCAGTTGAAAGGCAATGTGCCGGAAGCGCTGCGCTGCGCTGCAATCGCAATTGCATTGACATTGAAATGCTGTAATGCCACGCCCCCTTTTACACCCAGCCCCTGCTATTTCGCTTATCGTTTGTAATTTCCCGTCTGGCCGTGTCATAACTTATTTACTTCTCAAATTCTTTCCCTTTTGCTAGAAACTCGATTCAAATTCTGATGCAATCAACAAAAAAATCCGAATTCAGTCGCAGTCAAAGCCTGTGGCAAGTGTTGCAAGTGTAGCAAGTGTTTGGCAATTAACTAAAGTGCAGCAACAAATTCGAACAGAAGCAACTAAGAACACTGCAGTCGAACGACCCCGACTGCCCGATACTCGTTCAGTTTGCACAAACTGGGATTGATTGATTGATTGTAATTATATGTAGATTATTTAAAGATCTATCTTTAAATATAGACAAGTATCCAATTTGTGTCCATTCCAGATGGCTGAAACTAGAAAAGTTTGATTCTTTTGATGTGGTATACTAGTCTTAGCTGACAATGGAAGCAATTAATGTTGTATTTGATGTATCCAAATATCATAAAAAATTTATTTGATATCCCTAAGCTTACATATCACGATAGTAGGGGAGACAGAAACACGAGAAAATATATATCTTAAGTCGCGAGTCTCTCGCTTCTATAACAAACCTCAAAACAGATATGCGGACAGTCAGACAAAAAAGACGCAAAACTAATATGCCCCATTTGCACAACACAAACGAGTATCGCAAAAAACTAAATCAACTGCGCGCTGCGAACGTAGCTAAAAGCCTGTTGCTGTGGCTGCTGCTGTTGCTGCTGCTGCTGCTGCATTAGCAACAATTGCTGTTTACCTCGATTATAGTTATTGCTGTTATAGATGCTGTTGTTGTTGTTGTAGGATTGAGTCTGTGTATTATAGTTAGGCAGTGTAGCATATTTATTGCTCGATCCAATTGGGTAAGAGTTTCTATATTGTTGCTTCTGCTGCTGCTGCTGCTGCTGTTGTTGATAATGTTGTTGCTGCTGATATTGTTGTTGTTGTTGTTGTCTGTTGAAGCTATTGTACCTTTGTACAGTGCGACCTAAACATATAGACACACACACAGACACAGAGACATTTATATATAGAGGAAGATATATACAAAGCAAAAATTGTTTCTCGGGTCGATTTCATTTTTGCGCCTTTGCCAAAAAATTGTTATTTAAGCAGATTTTTTTTTGTTTTTTTGTTTTTTTTTTTGGGTTCTATTTGTCTTTTTTCTTTTTTGAGGTTAGTTTTGGTTTTAAATTTATTTTGACTAGAAAAAAGTTGAGTTTGTGTGTTTTAGCTTAACAACAAAATTTGTTTTGATTTATACACATTTAATACATTTGGGGCAATCGTGGGTTGAGGCCACACAAGCAGCTAACACTTGCCAGAGAGAGACAGAGGGTGACAGAAGAGAGAGTGAGACAAAGAGAGAGCGAGAGGGGTGCATATCAGCTCTCTGGCTTCTGGTTTCTAAACCCATTCACCTTCTGACTGCGACAAACACTCATCATCAGCTGTCGTCGTCATCATCTTACCTTGTTGACCAACATTCGAGCGTGGCAAAGTGGCGTAGGCGTTGCCACCTGGACGCTGCTGCTGCTGCTGCTGCTGGGGTGGATAGGAGACCGGCACCGGAGACTTGGGCGCTGCCGCGGGCGCCTGAGAGGCGCCATAGGGCCGAGCATAGCCCTGGTTGACCTAAGCACACAGACAGAGAAAGACAGAGAGAGAGAGAGCGGATTAATTAGATTAAATTAAAAAATCTCTTTAAATTCAACTCAGTTTTAATCAAAGCCAAAAGTACTATAATAAACCAATAACTGCTGGCAGACACTGTAATTACGGTGAGTACTAGATAAAAATTTATAGCTTTCTACTACTCCACTATTCCGCTCTACTATTTCACTACTATTCTACTATAGTATATATACTACTATTTCTCAACTACTCTAATCTACTATTTCTCAATTACTTACTCTACTCCTATATCTCCACTACTCTATTCTACTCCTATATCCCAACTACTCTATTCTACTCCTATATCTCTGTTACTCTATGCTACTCCAATATATCTACTACTCTATTCTACTCCTATATCTCCACTACTCTATTCTACTGCTACTACTACTCTATTCTACTCCTATATCTCTATTACTCTATTCTACTCCTATATCTCTATTACTCTATTCTACTCCTATATCCCAACTGCTCTATTCTACTCTACTCCTATATCTCTACTTCACTATCCTACTCCTATATCTCTACTACTCTACTTCTATATCTCTACTACTCTATTCTACTCCTATATCTACTACTCTAATCTACTACTATTTCTTTAGCTCAACTATAGGAATATTATAAAACAAATTTCCATCTCAATCTTTAAGTAGTGCATCTACAGTGTCTCCCAGCTGGACTCTTATCGATCAAATTCAATTCAATGACAACATACGTTAGCGAGTTAGACATCAAAATGAACATTCAACACTTTGGCAGGCTTTGTTTGGCTTACTTAGCTTAGCTTGCAGCGGTGGGTCAGGGGGAGGGGGAGGAGGAGGCGCAAGAGCGTGGCTTACTTACCCGATAGCTGGGTGGGGCATTGCCTTTGCCAGGCGGCTGCACGCTGCGTATTACATTTCCGGTCAAGGTGACATACTCGAACGGCTGCTCAGAGCCGCTCGCTGCCGCAGAGGGAACTGAACACGCAGCGGCAGCGCCGTTGGCAGCGGGGGCGGCGTCGCCAAAGCAATTGTTGTTATTAATTAAATATTGCTCATCCGCCACGTTGGCTGACATTATATCTGACTGAGCTGAAGCTGTAGCTGCGGCAGTAGCTGTTGCTGCTGTTGCTGCTGCTGCTGCTGCTGCTGCTGCTGCTGTTGGCTTTGCCTGATGTGAATTAAATTTCAATTGATTAGCGAGTGTTGCACTCAGAGCTGCAACATTCTGTCCATTGCTGGTTGCTGTTGTTGTTGTTGTTGTTGTTGTGAATGGTTTGGCCGTGTTGTTGTGTCTGTTGTTTGTGTTGTTGCTGTTGCTGTTGTTTGTGGGTAGCTGCTGCTGCTGCTGCTGCTGCAGCTTATGGGAGTACTGCTTTAGCAGTTGATTATATGCATTATGTCCCTTGTTCTGCATGTTCATGTCATTCTCATTCTGCGGCGGTGCGGGCGGTGCAGGCGGTGCGGCTGGTATATAATTATCAACAGCAGCCACATCCAGCGAAGTGCTGGAGCCCGATGCCTGGCGCGAGTGCATGGGCGACTGCTCCATGTCCAGCGAGAGTGTGGAGCTGGGGCTGAGAGCGGCGGCACTGCAGCCACCCAGACCTGACGAGGAGGAGCCGCTCGAAATTGATGAGAGGCTGCCAGCAGCCGCTGCCTGTTGCTGTCGGACAGTGGTTTGGCTGCCACTCGGTGGCAGCTGCAGCAGCTCCTCGCTCTCGAATTGCAACAGCTGCGTGGGCGACGGCGGCGGCGGCAGCGGCAGCTCGTGGCAGCTGCTGGCAGTCAACTCCTGCTCCGGCTCCGGCGCTGGCGCTGGCGCTGGTTCGAGCTCAGGCATTGGCTCGGACTAATGTGTTAATACGAGCGCGTGTTTTTTATGGAGGGGGCGGGCGGGGAGTGGCGCAACAAGAGGCAGGCAGGCAGGCAGGCAGGCGGGCGGGCATGGCATGTAAATGGATGCACAGTTAATAAAGGCAGTTAATTAAAATGCACAGCAAAATTTTTCCAACTTTGAGAGGCTTTAAAGTGTGAGTGTGTGCGAGTGTGCGGGTGTGCGTGTGCTCGTGTGTGTATACGTGGCGTATGCTCAATATGAGTTTGTTTGTGTGTGACCACTAAAAATAGCTAATAGGTCAAGGTCAATGCGCCAACTAAAGCTAGCTCTTGACTTTTAAAGTGACAAATGCCTAGGAGTTGCATAAATTAAATGCGAGTAAAAGAAAATATAAATAGTCTCAGACAATTGGAAGGAATATTTGATTTCAAATTATGTGTATATAAAATATGGCACAAAATGTGGAAGAAACCTATGTAACCGCAATTTAACAGAAGAAGATATAAATATAATAATAAACTTGGCATACGAATTTAAATTAGCTCTAGGAATAAACTCCAAAGGAGACAAAATTCTTGGATTTATTTTTATAATTGCTTTTAATGCAAAATTGAAGCTCAGAGAAAAATATTAAAATATTTTCCAAAAAAAAAAAAAAAAAAAAAACAGTAAATGCCGATTCTAGAGAAAAATATATTTAAAATAATATGAACAAAAATTAAAAAAAAATGTTCCTTTGTTTTGTAATTTAATATAATCCCAATGCGTAATCCAAGTTGAATTTGTCAAAATTGTTGAATATAGTCGAAGCAACGTAATCCAATAGGTAAGATAAATAAAGTTTTGTTATGCAACGAGACACAGGAAGCAATCTCAATTTGCTAATTAAGATTAAATAAACTGATTTTTTACACTGCAATTAATTTGAGAGTTCTTTTTGAAGGGAGTCCGCGCAAAGACACTTTACACAAAGTTTTCTTTAGCTTCGCTTTTAGAGTTTCATATGTACATATGCTAAGACATATGCATATATATTTATATATGTGTGTATATGTCTATATAGTTATTCGATTCGCAGCTTTCGCGCTGGCTGCGTGCCGCGAACGCGAGTCGACGAGGCAAACTGAATGCGCGAAAAGTTGCGACTGAGACTGCGTCCGACTGCAGCTGTGCGGCTTGCTCAGTTTTTGTTTTTTTTTTTTATAGATCGTGGTAAAAATAAATTGAATTAAAAAGCAAACAGCTAAGGCTTGCCACCAAAAAATAAATATATATTTAGCAATTTAGCCATTCGACTGTTTGGCTATTTGGCTATTCGGCTATTTGGCCATTTGGCTAGCCGTTGCACATTTCACAAAAATGTTTAGCAGCCAGCAGCATCTGCATCTGTGTCTGCCCTCGCATCTGCCTTCGCATCTTCAATTCATTCTTCTCGCATGCTCGAAATTACTTTTTACTTCTGAGCATCGGCATCAAGAGAAACTAGTTGATTATCTAGCTATTTATATCAGCTTGGCTCGCTTAGTGGGTGCACAGGGCCCCATTCGCATTGATTGGCTTTGACGGATGCTCGGCTGCATTTCATCACGATGATGCACGCTCGCTACACTTGGCGAATGATTAACTGAGTCCCGACTGAATTGATTGAGGTGCTTCGATTCAATAATTTCAAACTATGCTCACGCTCTAACCCACTTTGCTCTTCTCTCAGTGTACCGATTCAATTACAGTTCAAGCATGTGCCACGCCTACAGCTTAAGCTGCCCCAAAGCAGCTTCCACAGGCTTTGCTCGCAGCAGCAGAGCCCACACACGACTCAAAGCGCTCTCAAAGGAGAAGGGGTAGCTCACAATAAACATAATAATAATTGCGCATGCATAGAGAAACAAGCGAATTATCTCAGACTAACACACACGCAAACACACATATACACACATACACAACAAATAACACGCACACAAATGCAAAAAGTTTTCCATTTTGTCGTTTTTATCGCCAGGAAAAATAAAAGCAAACAAAAGAAAAGAACAACAAAAAGTTGAAGAAGAAGAAGATAGAAGCATAAAAATTGTTTGAATTTCTTCCTCTTCACCTTTCGCCGTATTCGTATATATTTGTTCACACACAGCGAAATATTTTCACGTTGCCTTGAAACTTGTTTGTTTCTTTTGTATTTTGCATTTTGCATTCTCTTTCAACATTTTAGCATATGGCATATATAACTGCGTATATATATATATATATATTTGCGTCTGCCGCAAGCAAAAATTTATGCAAACATGATAAGATTGATTGCAAAAACAAAAAGAAAGAAGAAGCAGCAGCAGCAGCAGCACAAATAGTTAAACTAGAAGCAGAAGCTGAAACAGAAGCGAGGGCAACTTCAAGTATTTCATTTCGGGGTCAGAAGATTTCTTTGCATTTGTGTGTGTGAGAGAGTGCATCTGTGTGTGTGTGTGGGTGTTTATGTGTAGGCATGCAGGTCTGTATCAACAGTCAGAACGTGTATTGTACTCACCGGTGCCGGAGTGGGCGTGGCATTGCCATTGGCATAGCCATTGCTGCCATAGCCATGCGAGCTCAAGGCCGAAGAAATCGTGCTGGCGCTCAGCTTGGTATTCCTAAGGGGGGAGGGAACAGAGTTGATCGCATGATTAATTAAAAGAAATGTCATGTCATCTCTAATTGTCTGAGCTTTAATTGTCAATCAACTATTAGTCTCTCTCTCTTCTCTCTCTCTCTCTCTCTCTCTCTCTCTATCTCGCTTGGCCTTTAATTAAGTTGCGATTTGGCCGAAATGTTCAAACAAATCCCAGAGGCCCAGGCAACAGCATCTGTCAGCTCTAACGAATGCTCCACATTTATATATATTCAATTTTTTTCTTGCTGACTAGCCACAGCTCTGGCCACGCCCCGAACGCTCCCTTCAGCTATCACTGCTCGCCTGCAATTGCATTTAATAAAAATTTTCGCTGCTGACACGTCGGCAATCAGTTGTCAGTTTTTATGTCCACAGCAGATGTACAAAAAATGCCATTCAATTGGTAACTAGGGAGAGCATAGGGACAGCAAAGAGAGAGAGAGAGAGAGAGATGGAGAAAGAGAGGGGCATGTCCTGGTACCAAGCAAACAATAGCAGGGGCACAACTATTATATTCCCCTTCGCTCTTTTGGCTATCGCGTCGAAATGTCAAACGTGTTTTGGCATACGGAAAAATAAATATGAATTGCATTTTTATATTCGTATTCGTATTTGTATGAATATTCATATTCGCATTTAATTCTTTTCATATTCATATCAATTTGTCACAGAAATAAACAAATTGCATTTAAAGTCAAATCTAACCAAAATTTAATGCATTTTCGTGAACTTCACCTGAAGTTTTCCCTGTTCATTCTAATTGAGCTACCTACCTATATATGTGTTTACTGGTTTCACTTTGAAATAACAGGGTATACAAGTCAATCAGTATGTGCTTACAGGGTAGCTAGCTGGGGTGGTGTACTTACGGCTTAATGGGCACTGGCACATAGCCCTCGGTGCCAGGTGGCGGATGCGCCTGGGCGGCCATCTTGGCATGGACGTCGCAATAGAGCTTGTTGTTGAAGTTGTAGTAGCCCTGGTTCTTCAGGGAGGTGCCACAGGTGGCGCACTTGAAGCACTCCACGTGCAGGTTCTTGTCCTTGATGCGCACAAAGACACCGCTGGAAAAGTTATCGAATATTAATCGGGCATCCAAATGAGTTATACTATAAGCTCTCAGACAGTATGTGAATACTTTGTGAAAGCTTACGATGGATCGTTTAACGAGTGTTAGTTTTTATAAGTTTAGTAAATGTTATCAAATAATAGTCAACTTATATGTTATCGAATATTACTTAAAGTCCAATCAAATGAAATAATTTGACCAAATTATATTTGAATTGAATAATCGATTAATAACTGATAATTCATTGACTGCTTTTGATATTTTATTAAAGAGCTTCAGTTGGGCATATCAAACCTAGTAGTCGATCAATAATCGATAGCTACTCATCAATAATAGATACATATTCATCCGAATATGTTTTTCGATGAGCTAGAGACATTTGCCCGCTCTGACATGCCTAGCATTATCGATTACTTATCGAAAATATTCATGATACAGTTAGTGCAAAGTAAAGTTGAATAAGTAAATGTAAATGCGGAATAAAATATGTTAAGTCCATATAATGAATTATCGAATTAAGCTCTCTGAGTCGCCAATGGGCAGCCAATTAAATCGGCATACAAATTAATACAAATGATGATGATATTCCCCAGTGACAGCCAACTGGACTCCAATTGGCGGAGAGTGAGCGAGGGCGAGCGCAAATCCAATTGGAAACCAGCTGCATAGTGCTGCAGAGGACGCAAGGTGTTGGAGGCGTGTCTGCATAATAATCATGTGCGCTGCATAAATTTAAACAATTGACTTCGAAATAAAAGCAAATTAAAATGCACGCACACACACAGATGCACAGTGAGATACCCATACCCACACACACACACGCGCACACGCACACACATAGGCAGACATACAGAGAGACATCAATGAATTATCATTGTAGAATCCTTACACAATGCCCACGCCGCACAATTGACAGGCCGGATGTCCGCTGGCGGACAATGGACGCACGCCATCCGAGTCGCTGGCCAGTGCCGCCGCCGCAGCATCCATCTCGGCCTTGTACTCTGGGCCCTGCAGAGCGGGGCATATGGGCATGACAATGATGCGCGGATCGTGCAATTCCTCCTGCTGCTTTTCCTGCTGCTCCTGCTGCTGTTTCTGCTGCTGCTGCTGTTGCTGCTGGGGCTTAGCAACGGGCAGACTGGGTCGATGCGTGGCCGCCGGCGCCAGCGTATTTTGCTGTAAATTGGTGCCGATGCGTTCGTCCTGTCCGAGGCCCTGCTGCACCTGGCTGTGGGGCAGCGGCGTGCGTCGCTCGTTGCCGCCAATCGCATGGCTCTGCGTCCAGTAGAAGTTCGCCGGGCTGTGCGGCTCTGCAGCAGCGACATTATTATCGCCATATGCACAAAAGTTCAATCAGTTCACAAAGCCTTTGACAAGTTATTTGCAAGCATGTGGGAGCGGGTAGGATAGGATATTCACCTCCAGGAATAAGCCTTCCGGAATAAGCCCCCCAGGACGGCCCTAAACTGCAACTGGCCATATCTTGAAATTAACTCTTAGCTACCACTCGGCTTATCAGGCGGTTAGTGACCGATTTTTATTGGAGTGTGAGTCCTTAATGTTAAGTCATGTTAATGTTAAAGCAACTGCTTATGTCTATGATAATACTTGAATGATGAATGAGGTTATGAAAACGTATAAACAAATATTTCTTTAGTATATTTATATAATCTGTTTCTGTTATTGTAATTTGTATTGTTATTGTTGCTGTTTCTGTTAATGTTAATTACAAAATTAATGTTGCTGCTACTGTTAATTTTACTGTGAGTCTGTTTCTGCTTTCAGCTCTATTAACAGTTTCTGTTACGTTTTTACTGCTAAATGACTTCATCTGCATGCAGACTATCCATTTTGTGTATGGTTGGATACACTTACTATTCATGTTAATCTCAATGTTAGTGTTCATCTGTCAGCTTAAGTTATTCAGTTTGGTTTTTAGTTACGACACTTACGTAATGAGGCGTTCGCACTCGGTACAAATGTTTTGACCAGTCGGCAGTCCCCCGGTGCTTGGGGGCTTTGGCGAAGTGACGGGGGCGCTCACATGACGAGTGGCGTTCGATTGTTGTTGATATTGTTGGTGTTGGTGTTGGTGTTGGTGTTGATGTTGGAGTTGTTGAGGCTGTTGTTGTTGATGATATTGCTGCTGTTGCTGGGGTGCATCATGCTCATAGTTGTTGTTGTTGAATGCTGTGTTCGGTTTTGTGTAGAGTGTTGTTTTCGAATGGAATAGAGTTGAGAGAGTACAAACATGAGTTAGCGAACATAGAACAAGAACGAAAACGAGAAGTAACTGCAAACATAAACCTAACAAATAATTTCGTAAAGTTTCGACCAATCTTATCTTAAACTCTAACCCTATGCTAACATTTATGTATATTTTATGATAAATAGATAAAGAAATATAGAGAGAGAGAGAGAGAGGGGAAAGAGAGAGTTGTATTTGTATTGTGTGAGTTGCTTTCAGAAATTCGATTTGATATAAAGAAAACGAAAATCCATTTCTTTGTGTTTATCTAACCGCAAAACAGAACAAAAGATTTGAGAAAATCAAAAGAAATAAAATTAAGTTAAATCAGTTTAAACTAATATATATATATGCATGTACATTTGGATGCCCTAAAGAGTGGTTCAAGGTCTTTGCCATGTGTTTTTAAAAAAGACACTAAAGAGTCAATGCTGTAATCTCTGACTTATTTATAGACCAGAGGCCATTTCTAGCTGGCAACACATGGCGTATGCGTAACGTTACAGCGCCCCCGTCTAGCTAGAGAGGTCTAACAGCTGCTGGGCTAATCGGCAATGGTGTCGCTTCTAAAGGGATTTTCGCCTGCATTGAGCAGCAGGAGCATGCGAGCCAGCTCATAGTAGGCCGCTGCCTTACCTGGAGTCGATTGTCCCGTCTCCTCCTCGCGCAGGAACTTCAACACCTCCGAGCGGTCAGCCTGGTATTCCTTTTCGTTCTTCTTAAAGTTCACACTGTAACAGAAACGAGATGGAGAGAGGCACGTTTAAAAGTGTTAAAAATTTCCATTGCATACTTTCAGGCTGCATCGGAACCCCAATAGAAAACGCAGCGCGCAAGAGTATGCTATAAAAAGAAGGCGAGTCAGTTGAGAGATTGTTGCAATGTCCGACGCCAAAGTCGGCTCAGAATAAAATAATAAAAAAGATCCCCTAAAGAAATTAAGTGCAAGCAAGTCCCATGCGTGCATTTTAACAAAAACAGCAACAAAAAACAGAAGGAAAATCCTCTACACGACTCCACTGGCACAACACGCCGAAAACACTTGGCCAGGGGGCGGAAGGCGGAGAGCGGCGTGTCAGGGATAAAAGAGCTGCTATCATTTGGCGGAATTGCACTCAGCTTTAGACGCTTAGGCGGCCCTGCGGTCGTGCAGCTCAGAGCCAGGCGAAGGCAGGCAACGGCAGACGACGGCGCGGCAATAAAAAAAAAAGCCAACAACAGAAGCCACAAAATGGGGAAAAAAAAAACACAAATATAAAACAGCCAAAACAAATTTTAAAGTAAAAGTTTTGTGTGGCATTCGGTTGTCATGGCAGACAGTTGTTTTTTATACCCTGCTTACAAATGCACAAGAGGGCATATGTGGGCGAATGTGCAAACGTCTTCATTTGGCTCTGTTTGCACCTTTGGTCGACTTTCTGCTTAGCCACAGAGCAGGTGAATGGGTAGATAGATAGATACGAGCTGAAGCAGTCAAAATGTGAAGGGTTTTTTTTGGCTTACAGTTTGAAAAAAACAGCTAAGCAATCGACAGTCTAGGAGTCACTGAATGAGCTGCTATTCATAGAATTTTCGATAGAGCTTCCAATAACTTCATTCAACACAATTGTTGAGGAGCCGATAGGAAATGCACCTTGAGAACGGCTGATAATCTAAAACACGGCCCGAAGAGTAAACTAATTTGCATATGCCTTACTTATATGACGAAATATGAGGAGATTCAATAACAGGAATAAGTTTCTAGATGCTCAAGCTATAAAGGACGAGGGCTTAAGGGAATTAAAGACATGGCTAAATAACTAATTAACATTAATTTAATGGGAATGTCATTTACAACTGAGCAGAGTATCCGGCAGTTGGGTACACCTCGAATGGGCTTACGCTTTTCGCTTGCTTTAACATTCATATTTTGCCATAAACAGGGTGAGCTAACCAGCCAAAAGGGAAGCATGGACAGACTGACCAGCGCAAAACAGAGGATGAGAGAGAGACAGAGGAAGGACAGAGAGAGCGAGATGTCAGCCATCTAGTTGAATTACTTACCCTAGAACACCGCCAGCCAAAACCTCCGCCTGAGCGGAGAGGGTTTCCGCAATAGATTCATCGCTGTAAATGCCAACCGGGGTGTTGTATTGTTTATTGACGATGCTCTTCACGCCGCCGTCGCCGCCGCCGTTGGCCTGCAACAACAAAACAGAGGTTGAGCAATTCAGTGAGACAATGTATGGAAAATGCAATTACTATTTTGATTTGGTATTGATATTATTTATGCTATTTTAAATTTATATTTTATGTAAATTTTGTGCGCACTCAATCTATTTTATTTATTCATATTATTGTATTTCTGTTTTATTTAAGTAAATTTTGTAATTCTAGTTCCGTTTTCTGCTCGCCTAACCCACTGTGCCGTCTCATATAGAAATGATTATAATATAAATTCATAACAATAAAATGTACGCAAATATATGCATATCATACACATTGATATTATTATGCATGACACATGTGTGTGCTTGGGTGAGTGTATGTGTGTGAGACTGAATGTGTGAGAGCGTGTGTGTGTGTGAATCACATTAATTCTTGCCAGCAAATAATCCTAGCACTCTTATTCATTACTCATTCTGACACTTTTCAAAAACTACGCACAAACAGACTGACAGACAGAGAAGGGATGAACAGAGTGACAGAGAGAGAGAGAGAGATGGAGAGAGAGGCTGTTGGAGAGGAAAGGAACATCGTATAAATGCAAATGTTGTCAACTCACAGAAAACAGACAAGTTTCCACTTGTGCCGAAAATAAAATGAATGAATATGAAAACCCACACAACAATGAGACGGACAAACAGATAGAGAAAGAGAGGCAGCTAGAGAGACAGGGCAGGCAGTTTCTGACAGCACTTCCCTGAGAGACTAACTATCAACATCATTGGTCATCAGCACGTCTCCTGTAATTGCGTGTGTGTGTGTGTGGATGTGAGTCTGTGTTTAGGTGTGAAGCTAATGTTGCCTAAAAGCTGCCTCAACCCAAAGCCACACTTTAAGCATTTTAAGTTTTTGGTCAACCAGTTGTTGGAGCGAGAGTTTATAAATGATCAAAATTCTGCCCACAAAAGTATGCTACGCTTTTGTATGTGGTGTTGAGCTGTTGAGTTGGTAGAAATTGTTAATGATATGCCGAAATTAGCAAAGGGAGGACCAGAGTGGGGTATTACATCATGAAAGTGTTAAGCTATCCATAAGCCTGTATTTTCTATGAAGCAGCTAGGAGACTAAGAGAAGCTCGTAGCTGTGTGTTGATCACAGTCTCTCTGAGAGCTGATCTTACGAGGAGAAGCTGAGAGATGCTCCAACTGCTTGGCTAGAGAAGAAATCATGACAGATACATATATAGAAGAGTAGAGCTAATTTAACTAGATTCTACGCTCTCTCTGTTCATGTATTTGTAACTTACAAATGGACGCGCCGAGTTGTTGTAGCCGCAGCCAATATGCTGGCTATCGGTCTGATGATGAGCCAGAGAAGTTTTCGTCACTGTCTGCAAATAGGGCGAATTGACCTGCGGCACGTTGCCAGTGGGCGTAACCTGTGGACGCCAAGTAGAGCCGCCACTAGAGAGAGGGAAAGAGAGATGAGTTTACTAGTACACAGTTCTAATATAGTTAGGGCTGAGTAAAATTACCGCTGCACTGTGATGACAAAATTGTTGCCCGAGCGCACAACAATGTCCTGGGCATCCTTGTGGCGACAGTTGAAGACGTCCACGTCATTGATCTTAATGACAGCATCGCCTGGCTGTAGGCCAGCCTGCTCCGCTAGACTGCCAGCATTCACCTGCAATTGCGATTGAAAGGAGAGCAGCAATTAGTCAATCAGTCAATCAGTCAATCAATCAACCAGTCAATCAACTAAAAGTAAACGAATTCAGCAAATATGCAAACCTCAGCCAACAAAATTCATTCATGGCTCAGTTTTTGCACAGTTTCTTTATGTTTCATTTTTCATTTTTGTTTAGTTTATGGTTTCGTGTTTTCATTTATTTATTTATTCCGCTGGGAAATTGTGCGCGGCTAAAGCCATAAATTTGCCAACGATTAAAATCGTAAAAGTTTCACAGCCACAACAGAAGCTGCATTTCCCCCATTGCACACATGTGTTCAAAGAGCCAGAGAGAGAGAGAGAGAGGGGGGAAGGAGAGAGAATGACCTGAGAGTGTGAGAGGGCTTAAGGGAAGAGCGCTTGCCACGCTTTTAATGCAAATCTCTTAAAGCTTAAACTTGAAACTTTTCACTGAAATCTGTTTAAAGCTGAATAAGTTTTTGATCTAAATAAATTGTGCTTAAACTTGAAGAAATTCGATTGAGGGCAAAATATCTCGACAGTTGCTACGAATGTTGTATAGATGCAAAGTATTTTGAAAACAAATAAAAATATATTACAAATTCATATTAAATTCAATACAAATAACAAGAAAAAAATAATTTTTATTTTCTTTTTTTTTTCGTATAATTTTTTGATAATATTAATTTATTTTCTCTTTAGTTTATGTATATGAAATATTTATTTACCTTTACTTTTCCTGTTCATTATATAAATAATTTATTTTATTATTATTTTTTTTTTTTTTTAGTTTGAAAACATTATCAATATTATTAAAAATTTGAAATAATTTATTTAATAATATGTTTAATCAAACTAAAATGCTTTGAATCGCCACAGCCTTCGGCAGCTTCAATCGGCCGCAAAGCAGAAACCTCAAAGTCGCCGCTGCTGTTGCACTTGACTTAAGTCTAGGCTCGATTTATGCGCCGCAACTCCCCACCTGCCACGTGACTAGGCTCAGGTGTGTCGAGCTGAAAATTATGCGCGCTCTGCACGTTTCCACTTTGCCAAATTGTCTGTTTATCAGACACAGACCAGCCTCCTCGGTCTCTCTCTCTCTCTCTCTCTCTCTCTCTCTCTCGTTGTCCCTCTCTGTCTGACTGAACTGTCGAATGTGGTTCGCTTTATATTTACACAAAACAACAACAAACACAAACACAATCACATGCGAGTGTGTGTGTCTGCTGGCTGACTGCATAAATATTTCATTGGCATGTTCGCCAAGCGAGACACCTAAATTTTGTAATATTTACAAAGTTGCTAAAAATGTGGCGCACCGAAAAAACCAAAGCCAGCCAAACCAGAATCAACCTGAAAGCCTGCAAAGCCCATACCCAAAATCTGGGAACCAGAACCAGAACCAGAACCAATGAAGCCAACGGAGCGGGCAAACGACAGAGAAAAAGAGGAAGCAAATTGAAGCAAAAACGCGCGACTCTCTCTCTCTCTCTCTCTCTGTCTGCTTCTCTTTCTCTCAATGGATGCTGTTGACATGTTCATTTTCTTGTAACATGTTTGTTGTTGCTGCTGCTCGACTGCTGAAAATTGAAATTGGTCGGACTTTGAGGTGTTACACAGTGCGCGAGAGCGAGAGAGAGAGAGTAGAAGGGAAACCGAATCAAAGTATGCGCTGTTTCGCATTTTGTTTTTATTGATTTGACACAAGTATATATACCCTATACCTGTAAAGCATTACAGACATTTTGGGCAATGTGGAACAACTGAAAAATGTTAAACAAAAACTTCAAGCTGAAGCTCACAAAATTATAGATATAGACTATGGTTAGGCGATTCATTCCACAAAAAAGTTTTCCTGCTTTAGCTTTCTACTTAAATGTGTTATACAACACTTATCAAGCTGCTTTTGCAACACTGAAATAATAATCACAAAGTGAACTCACTGTCAATCGAATCTATGTCTTAACTCTAAGCAATTGTTTCGAATTCCCCTTTCCAACACTGAAATCCGTAATGCTTCAAGCCGTATTTCCAACACTTTTGTATTCAGCAAGAGTAAACATTTATTTGACTCTTATTTTTATAAGGTATTTGCTACATGAGCTTAACTTCCACTTAGTTCTGTTAGAGCAGCTTTTTTCTGTTTGCCAGCAAATTGCATGTCACAAAAGTGCGCTTGGATTTAATATGTGTGTGTGTGTGTATGCCTGTGTGTGTGTCTGTGACATTGGAATATTGACATTTGGACAGTTTTATGAGTACCTGCGATCAACATGCGCGCCCCGCCCACAATATTTGTCCACTGTCTATGGCTGCTCTATCTATGGCCGTGTTCATGGCTGTGTTTGCGGCTCTCTGTGGGCCGGGACGGAGCCACTGCACCGCTGTCCGCTGTTTGCCAGCTTTGTTGTGGCTTGGGGCCGCTTGCGCTTGTTAGACATTTGTCAGCTTTATAGCATTTGCGGCCAGCCGCCAATTGACAAGGCATTTGTTTGCTGCCTTTGACTTATGAGCCTGTCGAGAGCGAGCTCCATTTCAACTACCATAAAACGTTGACCCCCCTCTGGCCCAGCTGCAGCGGGCGACACACTTTGACTCTGGCTACAGTTTGCCAAAAATTTGGAGGCCAGCCAGCACGAGATATTACATGTGTTAACCAGAGGACCCTAGCAAATGATGATTTATAGCAGGACAGGGGTGCAAAGGAGAAAAAGAGAGAGAGAGCTGCTAATAATTTGATATGAAACACAAATTAGCATTTTGTATTTTCATTTGATAATATTTGCGATGGCAATGAAATGAGAAAGAAACGAGATGGGACGAAGTGAGATCAGAAGAGAAATTATAGGCTGAGTTCAAATGAGATGAGCTGCTACTGAGCAACATTTGCTAATATTAAATTTAAAGTGCCTGAAGGCAAAGCCCAAATAGCACATATACGGTGAGGGAGAGGGGGAGAGTGGCATTCATAAATCCATATAGCAAATTAAATTTAATAGCCAGACTCAAACAGAAATGCTCGTAATCAAGTCAACTAATCCATTCAAGTGCATTCAAATTGAAATTCACTTGACAGCGATTGTAATTGAAATGGAGACCATAGTTGATGCTCTTGCCTTCGCACTAAGGCCGCACTAACTCTGCCTAGCTTATGTGCTCCCGTTTGCTCTAGTCAGCCCAGCTCCCACGCCCACTTCTTGTCAATTTCACACACTTTTGCCTAAGCCAGAAAAACATATCCTTTAACACTCTGCAATTTAGGCTAGCAATGTGTGTAGACACAGAGGGAGACAGAGGGAGACGAAAGATGCACGCACATTTTGTTGCCAGTTTACATATATGAACAGTGGGTGACAAAAGTGTGTGCACTGCTCAACTACTATATTGCTACTAGGTCCACTTTCATTTGGTAGAGCCTTTTCAGTCTAAGCGAATAGAACAATGTCTGCAAATTATTATGAATAATTGGATTTCAAGGCGTGCACTTAACTTTATTGCCCACTGTAGAGACGCAGGACTCGACAGCATGCAAAATATTTATGTTGATAAATCAAGTTTGCTCTTGTGGATTAGGTGTATCTAAAATAAATTAAATTTGCGGCGTAAATTGTAGGCCAAACACAAGAGGCAAGTCCTTGCCAGGCAGGACGAGGGCAGCGCGGAAGCTGCCAAGTTGTTGGCCAAGTTATGAACTTGTTTAATTGAAAATAAATCAGTTTAAAGGCAACATAAACCGCACCAACTCCATTTGCCAAGCCAAGTTTTATCTTCCTCTGCTCTACATGCCGCGCTCCTCCGTCTACCCCTCCTCCACCTCATCCACTTCATCCTCCTCCATCCGCTTATGCGCCATAAAAAGCAGAAAGCGAAATGCTCGTAAGTAGAACGAACAAACGCTCAAGAGCTGGACGAGGAGACTCGAATACTGCGGAAATGCAGCGCGCAAATACAATGAATCTCAATGTATATGAATATGCATGGCCATCACTCATACGCCCCATCTGCCGCGCTCTCCACATCTTCCAATCTCTCTCACTCTCACTCTCGCTCTCTCTCTCTCGCTCGCCCGCAGTAAATCAAGCAAATGCCGCTGCGGTTTCTCTGCCACAACAAATGTTGGCCGCAGCACTTGACCAGACCGAAATACAAAAAAATACCACGAGGAAGCGCAGAAAATGAAAAAAAGGGTCGAGCTGCAGTTGCAAACTTGGCAAATGAAGAGTTTTCCCCTTTGACCACGCCCCACGCCCTGGCTGGCCCCCGCTTGGGTCAGCTGCCCCATCCACGGGCCAAGCAAAACAATCCAATCCAGCGAGCTGTTAATGCAGCAAAGTAAATACAATGTTGGCCAGAACTCCTCTTGGGAACTGCTCCAATTTTTGGGTGCTGCTTCCCCTATCTAGTTCCTACTTCTGTTTTCAATTGGTCAACAATTTACAGCCAAGTAATTGCAATGTGGAGACAATGAAATTCCGCTGTAACTTTTGCTCCAGCTGCATCTTCATTTACTAGTTCCTTAAGCTATTCCTCAGCCATTTACTCTGTCTCATTCCAATTTCTTCAACTGGCGTTTATTTATTATAAATCAGTGAAGACAATAGAAAGCCAAACCTGTCCCAGCTGCTGCTCCCTGAATTATTTCTCAGCTCTTCAACTAGTTCCATTTTCAATTATTCATATTCCATATTGGACAGCAAACTGAATGCAAAGCAACTTTTGTTCCAGTTCACTTGCTGATTTCTTCAACAGTTCTTCAACTAGTTCCTGGTTCTTGAGCACTGATTCCTTTTCAATTATTCATATGCAGTAGGAGGAACAGTAAAAGTTGCTGTATCTGTCGCTAATGGCTTTCTGCCTAACTTCGGGTACAAATTGCCAACTTTTTTTTGGCCTTTTTTCTAGCCTTTTTTTACATGCTGCGCATGACTCAACAGCTCACAAAAGTTATTTATTTATTGGCTCCAAAAAAGAAGAGGGTAGGGAGCAGAGGGCCC